GGACGAAGAGAAGAAACGATAAACATGAAAGATAAACTGGATTAAAAACGATAAAGATTCGAAAATACAAAAGCTTGAAACTGTTCTACAATGGTGTTCTTCCGAAAAACCAGAGAGAAAAACTAAAACTTGGAGAGAAGGTAAAAATCTCCAAAGTCCTCGAAAAGTAGTCGCCGCCTTTGCCAAAAATGCCAAAACAGTCCAATGGTCCCCCCCGTCGCTAACAGCCAAAAACGGTTGAAAGGACAGAGATCGACCATTGGATCGAGTTGGTCTCTCGATCATATCCGGCCATCGTGTCTTCGGCTCGATCCGGGTCTCGATCTTCTGTGGTGAATCGAGTGTTGCATCCGATCTCGGTATCGATCTCCGGGAGGATCGAGTGGTGTACTCGATCCGGCTCTCGCTCTGCATGGCGTCATTTACGTCCGTACCGATGCATCGACTGCTTCACTCGATCTCCGTCTCGATCATTATCCTTGGATCGCCTAGTTGGCTCGATCTTCTGGTCGATCAACTCCTAGATCGACCGGCCATGCTCGATCTGCTCCTCGATCACTGGTCCTTAGCATTTTCCCGAGCTTCCATAAACCGCTACATTGGTCTCCACACCTCCACGATCCTCCGTGTCTCCAAAGCAACCATAAACAACCTGGAATGGATGCAAAATGCAGAGAAAATGCAAATGCTGATGCAAGAATGCTCTAGGACTCTAAGTGATGCAAATCTAACCTAAAACATGATACAAATGCATGAAAAACTATCTAATGAGTATGCAAAATATATGCAAAATGCAATGACATCACTAATCCAATCTCTTGGCACTAATCTCTTTACTAATCATCAAGTCAAGAACTAATTCTCATTAGTAAAATGATAAAAAGCAAGCATTAAGACAACCTATCAATCCTATATTGCCAAATAACTCCCTAGACAGTCAATCTCTTGAGCTAGGACTAGCAATTCTCTTCCAAAGCAGTTCAGGCATTTCATCAAACACTTGGTGGGCATAAAAATGAGCCTAAGATCCTAATCAACTTAGCTAGGATTAAGAGCCAATATGCCTTTAAGTGTTTGAAAATAATCTGATTACCCTTCTCTTAATCTCAATACCCTCCCCTTATTCTTCCCTCTATTTTGCCTTCACATTTTTTCAATAAAATAATAATATCCGAAATTAATAAAATAAATAAAAAGAAAAACAAATCCATAATATTATAATTAAATTCTCAACTACCGACGGGCCCCACATCTTCATCTTCTTCATGGCTTTCGCTGGTTGACGGATTCTTCATTCCTCCTGTTTCCCAAAACCCAACATTCTCCATCTTGAAGCTGTATGGGAACTTTATAAGGTGAGTCTGTTGCCGCATTATCTCCTTTCCATACGCTATGAATCTTAGAATAATAGGGAATGCTACACATTGTTGCTCTTGGTCTTCCAATGGCGCCATTGTTCTGAAATTTTTGTGGATGAATGAATAATTGAAATTCTTTGCTAAGGGTTGTAGATCGGTAAATAGGAGCAGTTATAATCGTTAAGTGAACATCAAATCATCCCGATTCGTAGTAAATCGTTGGAGATTCGTAGATAAATAGAAATTTTCTGGGTACACGAACAGGGTACTACTGGACCAACTGGTATTACTAAGACATCAGGTATTACTGAGAGCAACTGGTATTACTGAGCATTGTTTAGAAAACTGGTAATACTGATAGAAGTAGTATTACGGGAACAACTGGGTATAACTAGACTAGGACTAGTATTACTGCTTGTATTAGTGAGAGAACTGATATGATTGAGATATATACTAATGATATTTGTTATTGTTATTCAGGGGACAATGAATATAAGTCGTTGCACTATTATATGCTTCGATTATGGGGGATCTTATTCAAAGGAAGGTGATGCCATAAGATGGGTATCAAGAGAAGATGAAATGCACACCTTAGTAATGAAGACGTCTGTTGAGGAGGTAACTTATGCTGGGTTGATCAGTGGAATATGCAGGAAGATGAAGATAGATGAAGCTAATACGCAGCTGAAAGTCAGTTACTTTCCATTGGTAGTGGATCCTAAGCCATCATATATCTGGAATGATAATAATGTTTTTGGCTACCTGATGCAAGTGAATAACGATACATGTAGAAGTGTTTTGCACGTGGAGATCGTGGAAGATGTCGATCAGGGTGTTGTGCGACCTTCAAGAGAGGATCGCGAAAGTGTAAATGGTCCAAGTAATGAGTAGGTGTTTTCAAGTGGTATGGATGTTAATGCTGGTATAATTATTCTTCATGGAGGTGAACCATCAGAACGCCATCAAGCAGAACAAAGAAATGTGTCTAGGGAAAAGGATGGTGATACTGAGTATGGACCTGCTATAGAAGAAGTAGCGGTAAATGATGGCTGGGAAGATGGTATTGAAATGATTGTAGGTCAAGAATTTAAAAGTAAGAAGACAGTGCAAGATTTAGTTCATGTAGGCTCACATCAGAATTGTTTTGAGGTTGATACAATCAAGTCTGACAAAAAGCGATATGTGGTGAAATGTCGCGAAGCAAAAAAATGGTTGCAAGAGGTCTTTACGAGCTGCAAAGTTGATGGAATCAGATTGTTTCTCGGTAAGAACTTACAACAAGATGCATACATGCCCTTGAGCTTCTGCAGTTACAATCAGGAATAAAAAGAAAGGGACACCGGGATTGGTTGCATCTGTTGTGCATAAAGATTATCCGGGTAAATTTGACACTCCAACTCCAAAACATCCGATCGATATGGTTCAAGGACGACTTGGGGTAAAAGTATCATACTCTACTGCTTTGAGGAGGAAAAAACAAGCTGCAAATGATGTGCGGGGAAGTCCAGCCGAGAGTTGCCAGTTGGTGTATTCATATATATACATGCTGGAGTCGATGAATCCTGCTACACGGACTTATGTGGAATTGGACGAAAAGAAATAGTTTAAGTACCTATTCTTTGCGTTAGGAGCTAGCATTGAGGGATTCCAAGCCATGAGAAAAGTCATTGTTGTGGATGGAACCCACCTTAAGACTGGATATGGTGGTGTTTTGTTAGTTGCTACAGCTCAAGATCCTAAGCATCACCATTATCCAATTGCGTTTGGTGTAGTTGATGGTGAGAAAGATGCTAGTTGGATGTGGTTTATGAACAGGTTGAAATCAGTGATACCGGATGATCCTGAATTGGTGTTTCTTTCTGATAGAAACTCAAGCCTCATCTAGTCTGTGAAGGCGGTGTTTCCATTGTCTCAACATGGGTATTGTATTCAACATTTGTCTCAGAATGTAAAAGCGAATGTCTACTACATCAACAAAGATATATGCGTTATGAAGTTCAAAGAATGCGCTCATGCGTATACAAAGAGTGAGTTCCTGACACTTTTTGATGCTTTTAGAACCAAGTATCCTTCCGCAGCCCAGTATCTCGATGGTAGTGTTCCTGTGGACAAATGGGCAAGATGCTATTTTCCAGGAGAAAGGTACAACATAGACACCTCCAATATTGTAGAATCTATTAATGGTGTTCTTAGGAAAGCAAGGAAGTACGCTCTATTACCAATAATTGATGTGATTGTTGATAAGCTGGCTGAATGGTTTAACAAGCATAGGAACAGTTTTTCTGAAGTATCAAGCACCCAGAAGCTTGTGCCTTTTGTGGAGAAAGAACTGCATAAAAGATCACCGGAAGTGAAGAAATTAACGGTGCATGAGTTGAACGCCTTCTTCCTTGAATTCAGTGTCATTGGAAAAGACGGCAAGTTCTATTTGGTTGATATGAAAAGGAAAAGCTGTAGTTGCAAGTGTTTTGATATAGACAGATACCCATGTGTGCATGCAATAGTTGCTGCCATCTTTATGAGCGGAGGCCGGGAACTTCATCTACAAGAGTTTTGCTCGAAATGTTATTAGATGGAGCTATGGACATTAGCGTACTGCAGGACGATTTATCCAGTACCACACAGGTCTGATTGGATTATTCCTGAGCATATACAAAACCTGGTTGTCATACCACCAGATTATGTCGCAAAGGAAGGAAGACCTCAAGAAAACCGGTTCCCATCAGCTGGAGAACACCGAGGAAGAGGGAGAGGGAGAGGAAGAGGAAGGGGAAAAGGAAGAGGAGGGATGTGGTCATATTTCTTTAGTGGCAATAGAGGCTGGTGAGGCTGGTGATGCTGGTCAAACTGTGTAGCTCGTTTGTGTTTATTTTTTGTATTCGGAACACTTGGAACAACTGGTGCAACTGATAGTATTTAAGATGGTTTTTTTTATTGTATTCAAGAGTCGATTTGTTTTTAATTGAATTTCGAACATTCGATATGAAAAAATCTTGTATTAATTTATTTAGAGTTATATTTTATTTTTAAAATTATTAGGAAAACCTACATTCAATATGAAACAATCAAATAAAGAACATTTATCCAACAAACACCATACACTTCTATGAACACTTTCTAAATGCTAACCACCATATGAAGCCATAGACCGATACGATGAGTTTTAAAACATCTTTAATGCATAAAACCCTCAGGCTTAACAACAGAAGGACTAAAATCATCTGTAAAACTATAAACAGGAAATTTATTGCGGAGTATAACTATATAAAATTAAAAACACCCAAAAGTATAACTATTTGAAAATAGTATAACTAAATAACTAGTGTAATTTTGGCGGCATCCACGTAAGCAAAAAACGGCGCACGTGTTATTTTGGTGGCAAACATGGTAGGAGCGGAAAATTTTTGGAAATTCAGGACGGTTTTTCCCGGTTTAGGGTAAATAGTAGAAATCGGGGTCCTAGGGATTTCTTTCACTTCTCAGATTCGAGTTTCCTCCTCCCTTCTCTCTCTCTCTCTCTCTCTCTCTCTCTCTCTCTCTCTCTCTCTCTCTTTCTCTCTCTCTCTCTCTCTCTTCTCACCTTCGCTCGGGTTCATTCTTTCTTATCTCTTTAGGTTAGTCGATCTCTCTCTCTCTCTTAAAATGGATTCAGATTTTAGCTATCACTACACGGACAATTTCCTCATCCACCCATACGAGGAGGAGTTGAAGGAAGAGAAGAGGCGCCACAAGGAAATGGAGAAGATGAAGCAGCATTGGGACATGGTTGGATTCGTCGCCGACGGCCAATATGGGATTCTGAGAAGATGCCCATGTGGTGGATCTATGAAGCACGATGTATCTCCTTCTCTAAAATTTAAACACGATTTCGATACTCAACCAGGCAGTAGGTACTTCACCTGCACCAAATTTAAGGTATAATCTCTATAATTTCAGATCTGGATTTTTTTCTGGGTAAAACTAGTAAAACTAGGTTAAACTATTTAGATGTTCTTCAGGTGTAAAACTTGGAATACTAGGTATAACTATAATGGATGTTGCTCGTTTTTTTGTTTTTTTACTAGGATGATGGACTCCACTTTCGCCAGCCATGGGTTTTCGGAGTCGAACAAGAGATTGAGAAGCTAGTTATGAAAGTTGAAGAGCAGAGCAAGACGATTGAAGAAATGCGAAAACAGATTCAGATCCAAGCCGAAGAGATAGCCACGCCAAGACTTAACGAATCTGCAATTTCTTTTAATTGTTGTTTTAATTGTTGTTCAAGACTAATGTTTCATTGCACTTCAATGTTTTATAATTATTTTTAGTGTTTAAGTAGTTAAAATGTATGTCTTGCACTTCAATGTTTTATAACTATTTTTAGTGTTTTCATTTGCTTGTTACTTTGTCAAACACAAATCAAAACACCAAATCAAACAAATTAAAACACCATACCAAATGAAATACGTTTAAATCCAAACATTAAATCCAAACTTTTAATCCAAACAACATATCAGCATTCGAGTTTTAGTTCTAACTCATACTGAAAACCAAAATAGAAAATGTTTTAAGTCCAACTAGACTTTCCTGCCCCTCTTGGCCTTTTCCTCTGTGTAAAGAGGTCGCACATGCTGGGAATGTTTTATCTTCCTCTTCTGGGATTCGTCAGCTGCCTCCTTCTCCACTTGGGACTGTGAACCTCTTTTTTTCCTTCGATACAACTGCTTACCCCGCGCGGAAGATGTCCCTTCTGTCTGCAAACACAAATAGTTTTACTTAGTGTTACATAGTGTGACATTTCTGTTTCAGGGTATAAGAATTAGAAAATTTACCGCTGCCTCCTTCGCTCCCTCTGCCTCCTTCGCTCCCTCTGCCTCCTTAGCTTCCTCTATCTCCTTAGCTTTAGATAAAACAGCAGCCACACACTTGTTAGGGACCTTCATCATTTTGCCTCCTACTCTTATAAGACTGCTACATCGCATTATTGAAGGAGAATTACCGCTTCGCTCTTCTGCCTCCTCTCCCTCTTCTGCCTCCTCTCCTACCTGCTCTACCTCATTCTCCTTCTCTGCTTCATTCTTTTCTCCCTGCAAAACACATACAGATAAACTCCTTGCAAAACACAAACAGTTAAACTCCCTGCAAAAGACAAATTACCTCCGGTTCCTGCTCAACGCCTGTCTCCGCCTCCTTCTCTGCCTCCTTCTCTGCCTCGTTCTCTGCCTCCTTCTCTGCCTCGTTCTCTTGTTCCTTCTCTGGTTCCTCAACGCCTGTCTCCGCCTCCTTCTCTGCTCCCTCATCTGCTTCTGCCACCTCTGCTTCTTGCTCTTGCTCTTGGTCTTCTCCCTGCAAAACACACAATTGTACTTAGTGTTACATAGTATTACTTTTCCGTTTAGAGGTCCAAGTCAACCAAATTATACCTCTGCTGTTTTCTCTCCATCCGCCACCTCTTCTGCTCCCTTATCTGCTTCCGGGACCACCACTTCTGCTCCCTTATCTGCTTCCGGGACCACCTCTTCTGCTCCCTTATCTGCTTCATCCATTGGCTCGGTTCCCTGCAAAACACACAATTGTTCTTAGTATTACATAGTATGACTTTTTCGTTTAAAGTTCTACGTCAACCAAATCTTACCTCTGCTCCTTCCGCTCCGTCATTGTTATTCACAGTAGAACGAGGAATGTAATCACCATAATTGACGTCCTCATACATGCTTCGAGCATCTAATGTCTCTTTCACATAGCCTTCCACTGTTGGAAGTCTTGTATCAAACCCAGCAAACTTGTCATTCATCTTCTTGAACCCACTCTCCATTTCCGTCTTCAGACTCTGTACGACCTCAACCAAGTCAGCGACGGAAGTAGTGGCAGCATTGGCGGCATTGGCGGCATTGGCGGCGTTGGCGGCATTGGCGACGTTGGCGGTATTGGTGGGCTGCTCTTCTACTCGGGCGGCCACGTCTTCTTCGTACATCTGTTTAAAACAGACCGGCTTGTCTTCATCGTTAATACACTTCAACCAACTATGAAAAACAGCATCATCGACATCATCATTGTCATCTTCTTCAGTCACTCGAGCCACAAAAGCTTCTTCCTCATTGTAAGGGACCAAGATGCTATTAATCTCATGTGGATATAAACAAAGATTGCAATTCCAATTATAAATAAATTAAAAATGTGAAAATTTAAAACGTTTGAATTTAAAAGTATTACTGACCTTAGTTGTACCAAGTGCTTCATTTATTTCCTCGAGAGAAAATCCTTTCATGGCGCTTTTTTTGAACTTGCTCTTGCACATCCTCGGACAAATTTTCCTCGCAGATGGAACAACTTCTCGGAATTTCTTCTTCAGTGATGAAATTGCTTCAAACGCTTATGCCACATATATTTTGAGTTAGCTTCAAATCTATGGAAATACAAGTACTACATATATTCATATTTACCTCCAAAGGAATGCATATGCTTGGAAAAGTCCAATTTGATCCGCTAACAACCCCCTTTAAAATGATCCACAATATGCTGGATCTCTTCCATATTGTTATCAAAAGACAATCTCCCCCAGGGAAATGTCCTACACAAATGCAGATCACTGACTGCTTGTTGAAAGAACCGCTCCACACAAGTAGCATCACCTCCTGTCTTAGACTACCTAATAATGACGCTTGATAGAAAGAAAAGGATGGCCTTCCTTAACCGATCTGGAGAATATGAAATATTCTCCAGCTTTTCTTTCACATCTGAGTATCTTATTTTTTTCCCTGCCCCAAAGTGCTTGTCCACGAACTCCATACTGCCCATTTCCAAATAGTTAGGAGGATAGCTGCGACAGTTTAAACCGGAGATGAGGGCGTGTTCACGTAGACTATACCGAATGGGCACGCCATTCACAATGAACCAGGCTTCCTTTTTCCTCTCCGTAACCGCCGTTCGGAGAATCAGCAACCACATCCCCATTAACTTGTGGTCTGAGTCCTTGTGCATGTGGAAGAAATGTTTGAATTGGGGGTGATCCACAAACCAACTCTTCTCCTCTGGTCTAAGTGGATACTTAAATCCACTTAACAATAAATCCACTGCTTTCGAGATATAACACCTTATAGACAACTTGATCTTTTTCACGTACTCCGTTGGCTTGAAGTACATCTCCATAGGAAGCATTGGCTCGGTTCCCTGCAACATAGTTGTACCAAGTATTACATTTTTTCCAGAAATTTGTAACATACGAATAACCCTAGTTTTACCAGTTTTACCTGTCTTACTAAAAACTCAGAATATTACTAATTCGAAACAACAATCAACAATCACGATCACAAAAATGAAAACCTGATAGCCTAAATTAAAAATAAAGACTCGCTATACAGTCAATCACCCAAAACGAAAGTACTTTAACCAAACTCGATACCCAAAACCAACGAATTCTTTCAAACTCAAAAACCGAGTAACAACGGTTCGGGTACATACCATTGAAGAATCGGACGCGCCGTCGTCCGTGATGGTTCGGCTGCTTCCGTCTCCTCCATCGTTGCCTCCTGCTTCTTCGTTCTCTGAAGATTCCGGGTCCGAGTCTTCATAGACAACCTGAGAGGTTCTCTTAGATCTTCGAACCTCATCAGTTAACCCATAATTCAGCCTCTTTGTACGCGCCATATGCCTACATGATCAATCCAAATCGGTTACAATAGAATCTATATCGACATCCATCTCACAAAACCGACAAGATTATGAGACTTACCTTCTCTGATTCGCCTACAAATCGATTGCTGTGGTGCGAGTTTGCCTTAGTTTTTCTGAGTAACTGCTCGTAGTGGTCCCGACGAACTAGGATCAATCGTCGTTTCGTTCGCTTTTTTTTTTCTTTTAAATTTTGCCCTAATTTTATTTTTGATCGACTGGGAAGATGAAGGGTGATTTTAAGCGGTTTTTACAGTAAGATCCGACTTAGGATCCGCGATATATGGGCGGATTAGGGTTTGGGTGGGTTTGTCTTGGTTGGGTCAGTAATTTTGTTAAGTTTTTAAGGACAGAATCGATATCTACTCCTTTTCTCTATTTAAAATAAATGTTATAAAATAACCCAAAAATAACGGGGGTATATTATATTATTTTTGAACCACGAGGGGCATCTCAACCATTGATCCACTTAGATAAGGCTAATCAGGCATTAAACACAGAAATCAAGAAAGGAAATGGAAGAATTAACACTAAATAATCATTGATTAAGCCTCAAATTCCTTAAATCTAACCCATCTCAAATCCCTAAATCACTACTCACTAATCACCATCAAAACCATCAATCCAAAGAAAAAATGATAGCTAATCATGATTAGAAAGATTAAACAAGAAGATAAATGCAAACTTATATTGAAATGGAACAAAGATTCAAACTACAAGATCAAAACAAAAACAAAAGAGAAAAGAACTGTTAGATAAAAGCTTGATCCCAAAAATTAGGGATTTTAAGTATTTATAGGAGCCTAAGCGAAATGGCAAAATTGTAAATAAGTTAATGGGATTCACCCGCTTCTCTGTTGCTTTGCATCGGTCACCATTGACCAATGTGCTTCATGCCAAGACCGATGGAACACCAGAAATCGCCTCCCTTATCTCTTTTTGCTCCTTCTCAGCTTGGCTAATGATAGGGCTCAGGTTTTACCCAAATAAAACTACTGCAAGTGCACAGCAAAGCAGATATAGTATATAGGGTTATCGAATCCCAAGGGAGTATATGAACTACACTAGCGTTTATAGATTCGGATTAAGCTAAGCAATAAGTAGTGAATGTAATGCGAAACAACTAAATAAATGTAAACATGCGAAATTTGATTGATCTAAGACTCAGATGACTAAAAGCGCTAAGTCAGGACAATTCGCAGGTTGAATCCGAGAATGTAGAATGCATGAAATCAGGAATGAATAAGAACCGTCTTGAAAATGAATCGCCAATATATAACTAATCAATTTTCATTGCAGAAGTTAACTATGTCTAAATTACAGAGTTTCAAATCTCTTTGTAAACCCTAACAATCTAAACATGCAGTAATGATCAGGTTCAATTGTTCACAAAACTCCTAAGCCGAATCTCTTTGCACTAAATCGTTTTGCTCATCTAATGCTAGATCAGGTTATCAATGATGCTCTCACATCTATTAAACAACCTAGGTTTTTGGATTTCCAGATGATGTGTCTGAGAAAATCGGTTTTAAAGCAAGCAAAGATGAAGAACCAAAAGATATTCCTAACAGATAGCAAATTTACAAACTCTTCATCAACCTTTGAAAAGCCCTAACTTAACTAGCAAATTACTCAGACATGATCATGGAATCACAAAGCATAGCTGAATAACATTGCATTGAAAGAATAAAATAAAAGATAAAGGGGTTCGAAATCTTC